TCCAAACCTAACTTGATTTTTCATGTACCAAAATTTATCTTTTTGATAAATTTTAAACCCGTTTTTATAATTTTATTAAAAAGATAAACCTTTAAATAGCCAATCATACCTTAAAAAAAATTGATGGTGACTCTTCTTATTTTTTTCGATTTTAAAATTTTTTTACATCTAATGATCCCAAAATTATTACAACAGCTGTATGAGTGCTAATAAAGAATAGATGCATAAGTACTTTACATGAAACTTTCAATCAACAAATATCTAGAGTAACATTTAACTCTAGAGTAACATTTAACTGCATTCTTTGCTCTAAAAAACGTTTAATTGTATTATTTAGAAATAGAACATTAGTGATTGATCCTAGAAATATATTATTATACATGATATTATTACATACTATTATTTATTTTTTAATATTTATTAGTTTTTGTTTTGTCTGATAGTTTTCTCATGAAAAACTTGGCTTTTCTTAATATAAAGGAACTTGGTTTTAATTATTAAAATATTCAAATCTAGCTGGCTTGATTTTCTCATTGATGTTGGTGAATTGTGTAAACCATTGTAATTGTAAGTATATTTTTCGACTGCAAAATAGAAAAAACATCACAATTATTGCATAATGTTATTATTGTAGGCTATGAAATAAGGTAAGCTTTTAGTTATTGTTTCTCTTAAATAAATAAAACTTATCTTAAAATTATATAAGTTTGTAGGTATTTGAAAATGACGGCACAAGATGATAAAGATATGCAAATTAAAAAAAGTTAATTTAAAGTAATGAAACTTTTAGTTTTTATTTTAATATTTTGTTGGTGTAATCAATATTATTATTTATAATATCTTTTGGATATTTTATTCTTTTTCAAATATTATTTTTCATATTTTTGAAATTTGTTAAAATTTTAATAAATTTTTTTGATTTTATGATTTGATATCTTAATTATATTATATATTTTACATATATTTTTAACATATAAATGATTAAATAGTGTTAATTTATGTGTCTATGTATATTTAAATAATTAAAATTAATCCGTACATCACACGAATAACACACTAATTAATTATAATAAAATAATAAAAATTTAGATAATTATTAAATTTTTATTTAAAAGCTCTTTTTTATCCTTTTAACTTTTATTCAAACTCATGGTGTTGTAAGAAATCTCAATAGCTAGTTAGAATTTTAAACTTTGAACTTAAATCATTAAATTAAATTTTACTGGGAAAAATCATACTTAAAAATTGGACAAGTAGTTGAGCGTGTTTGAGCCTACAACGAAACATGTTCTCAAAATCTTTTGCCTAGGCAACCAAGTTAACCTTCCCCTGCATTGACCTGTCTCTGCATCCAACCCCAAGGGCTCCTTTGATAGTGAAGTCAGGGTGACCATCGTCCTCTTCCATACGACTTTTCTTGAGCCAATGAGCTCATGGACCCACCCCCTTCCATTATCACAAGTCACAACCGACCATCCATCTCTCCATAAAAAATTAAATTAAATTAAATTCAAGTGCGAAAGATTAATTAATTAACCTAAAAGGAGGTCATCAACTTTATTAAAATCAACCCAAAATTTTGTAATCTTCCGTCGATTTAAAAAATAAACTATTTTTTATTAAGAAGAGCAATTTTTTAATATAAGGGTTTAATTCAACCAATAAGAAAAGAGTTTATTTTCTGTATCAATTGAAATTTGATTTTTTTAAAAAACATTATAAATGTAAAATCGTATATACACCAAATCAATGTGAAAAATAACACTTAAAATCACCCAAAAAAAAAAAAACTCTTCAGCAATTTTTTTTTGGCCAAGAATCTTTAGCAAAATTTGAAGATATATATTCTAGCATTTCTCAGTAGAAATTCAAATATTAGACCTCCAAATATTTTTTAAAAAGAACAGCTGTTAAGTTAAAAGTTGAAAAAAAAAAAGACAAAACTTAGTATAGAAGAGATTAAACTTTCTTTTAAAAAATTATATTAAACAATGAGGAAAATATTTATGGATGGAGAGAGTGTTTCTATATGGAATGATCCTTTGGATTCTTAGTCCAAGTGTAAAGAAGTTAGAGTCATCCAAACTTGTATGATTCTCAATTTCCTGAGAAAGTGGCCGAAATAATAGGTAAGGAAAATTTGTTGTCAAGCAGTCCAGTTGGCTTTAATTTATGGAGGAGAAGGGTGTTACAAAGTCCTGTTTGTCAGTTGTGCTTAAGGGAGGAAGAATCATCAGAACATATGCTGTTACTGTGTGATTGCACAAGAGGCATCTGGTTTGAGGCATGTTGGTGATTGAAAGTATGATAGGACTCCATAACCACTTTTGATAGATGGCTTGAGGAAATTTGCAATGACCTCAGAAAGGCAAATCAACTGGAGAAGATGGTTTGGATTGCATATTGTTGTTGGTATATGGAAAATAAGATGTGAATGTGTTCTTGGAAAAATGGAGGTAGATGGAAGCCATGCTATTTAGAGGATTAACAATGCTGTTAATGAATGGTTGCTGTCCAGGGAGGGGCTGAAAAGATTGAATAATGACAGATGTGAACAGCAGGAAAAACCTCTGCTATGGCTCATTTGATATGAAGAAGAAGGAGGCTGGCACTGGAGTGGTGGTGAGAAATCATGAAGGTAGAGTATTGGATGGCACAAACTAGAAGTTTAAAGCTGAAAATGCAGAGCTGGCTGAGGCAATGGCGATTAAGGAAGGGGTGAATCTGGCAGTGAACCGAGAATATCAGAAAGTAATACCGGAAACTGACTCAAAGGAAATCCATCCAATTATTCTGGGAGAAAAAGAAACTTATGGACTGGAGAATCAAACCAATAATGGATGGCATTCTGAGTCTGCTCAACGGGATTCCTATGAGGAAAATCGAATTAATCAGAAGAAATTCTAATATGGTTGCGGATTGGGTTGCAACCCCAACTAGGAAGGGGATTTTGTAATACTGGTTGGACCAGGTATATACCATCTTATTTAGTTGGAATCCTTGAAAAGGATGTTTTACCAGCTTCTCATTAAGCGTATTGGAATGATTGGATTGGGATGAGAATCAGAGGTACTTTGGTGTACTCTATATGAGCTTGTCCTGATGTGTCGTTAGGTGTCACAGTGTTGCTGTATTGATGACATTTGAGAAGCACAAAAACGACTTTTAAAGACCAAAAAAAAAACCAATGAGGAAAATATTTTGAGGCAAGGATATTATAAGTTGAAAAGTAAATTTTTTTATTGACCAAATAAAGAAAAATGACCGTTTGTTATTGTTGTGTATTTTATATTTTATTTTATTTTTGGTTTTGTTTTTAAATTATTGAATTTAAAAACATGTTTGGATAGAATATTTTTATTTTAAAAATATGAAAATACAAACATGTAAAAAAAAGTGATTAATGTTTTTAGGCTCTATTATTATTAATAATACAATAATATTAATATAATAATATTTATTAATATGTTATTTATTTATTAATATAATATTTTTTTAATATTTTATTTTAATACAATATTATTTATATTAATAAATAATATATTATAAAATATTTAAAAAATAATATTATAATATATTGTTAATAGATTTTATTATTTATTAATTAATATAATATTATTTATTAATATAATATTTTATAATAAAAATACTATTTTATTAATATAATAATTATAACGTCACTATAACTATTTCATTATAATTTTTTGTAAATAGTTTCCATATAGTAAGAGTTCTAATTTGTTTTCAAAAAACTACAAATATTATTTTTATGTTTTAATAATTTTTAAAATCTTTCAAAATTTTAATTTCAATTTTCAAAAATAAAAAATAAAAATAACCTATCAAATATATATATTTTTAAATTTTTTAAAAAATTAAAAATAAAAAAAAAAACAAAAAATGTTACCAAACGATTGTAAAGTAAAAAAAATAATGAAAACATTTTGTAAAGCAAGAAAATCATATGACAGGATGGCATTAATTAATCTTTGTCCCGCCAATAATTTAAACATTTTCTTTGCTTTTAAAAAGGAACCACAGTCACTTATATTCAGGCAAGTGGACCAATCCAATGTAGCAAAGATGCAATAGCAAACAAAATCTCCCGTGCCGCCATATTTTCATGCATCAATTTAATTTCTGTCGGGAAAATTTAATGCCTTTTTGTTGAAAACTTGAAAATTAAAAAGCTTTTCGAAAAATAATTTTCATGTTATTTCCTTTCTCCTCATCATGACAAAACAGAAAAATAAAAGTTTAGGGCTCGTAGGATGACATAGACATTGTTGGTTGTCCTCGCTTGTGTTAAAACATAAAACTATGAAAAATCATTTTCATTTTTAATAAACAGTGTATATTCTAGGAATGTTAACGAATAAAATATAGGTAAAATATAACATTTCTCATTTTTATTTCTAAATTTTATATTATATATTTTTTTGTATTTATATTCAATAAATATTTTAAATTTATTTTTATCTTTATTCTTACAAATATTTAATAAATATAAATAATTTTCGTATCAATAATTTTTTTAAAAAAATAAAACTAAAATTTATTTTTAAAATACTTTTTAGTTTTATCTTATATATTTAGATAATTTTATATTAACATATATTTTTTCAATAAAATATATTAATTTTAATTAATTTAAAATAATTATTTATATTATTTAATAAAAAAATTATTTACTAAATATATAAAAAATATATAAAATATATAAATACGAGATAAGTGTTTTATTATCTATTCTTATCTTTATATCTAATAAAATTTTAAAATTATATACATCTTTATCTTTATACTTATAATGTAATATCAATTCTTATCCATATTCGAATAAAATATCAAATTTCATATTGAGTATAGATAAAATTGATATCCTGAATAAATTCCTTAAAATTTTTCAATTTTCTTGCCATAAACTTTCTAATTTTATATTCCAGGTTTAATTATTTGTCAAAAATACAACATTTTGCCGTGTAGTTTTTCTCTTCTTTGCCTCCTTTATAAATTAAGGCTACACATGATGACTTGAGAGGAGCCATAAAAGCACTCTTTTCTTAGCTTTCTGGTTGATGCGTCTCTCTCATTTCTTCATTTTCAAAGCTTATATATTTTGATTGTTTCTCTTTCTTGGTTTGGTCAAATTTGGTTTTTCTTTTCTGGGTTAGTCTTCCATTGTTCCTTTGGTGCTTAGATTCAATTCAACGAAATACAAATTGCGTTTTTAAGGTTTTGGTGATTGGAAATATGGGTTCGTTTCTTTTCTTGGCTTTTGATATCAAAGACCCAACCTTTTAGTTGTAGATTATATAAATATTCTATTAATTGTAAAAATCTCTGTATTTTAAATTCATTTATTTGTTGTTTTGGTAATCTATTTGGAAAAGGTCTACCTTTGGTTGGAAAAGATATAATCTTCTCTTTTTTTCAACCTCAAAAAGGTGCAAGATTTGGATTCTGTTACAGGTTAGGACTACTAAGAAATTTTTTTTAATTTTTTATCAAGGAATTGATGTTTGGCAACTCAAATTTTTTGCTTTTTATGTGAACAGATTTCTTGGAGTGTGCTCAAGGCGGCTTTTAGCCTGTAAGGTGGTTTAGATTTTCTGTATAAGTTGAATCTTTGAGAGTTTTAGGTGATTTAAAAGATGACAATTGGGGATATGACACTGAAGAAGGAGAGGAAGTCAAGGAAGAGTAAACATGTTGTTGATGAGAAAGCTCCCTTGTTGCCTAAACGACAAGATGAAGATGCTGGTTATGACGAATTTAATGGAGCTTCTTTTACTGGGGCAGTGTTTAACTTGTCAACAACAATTGTTGGTGCTGGGATCATGGCCTTGCCTGCTACAATGAAAGTTCTGGGACTGATTCTTGGGATTGCTATGATAATCTTTATGGCATTCTTAACTGATGCCTCAATTGAGTTCATGCTTAGGTTTAGTAGGGCTGGAAAAACAACCTCTTATGGAGGTCTTATGGGAGATGCATTTGGAAAGTATGGAAGAATCTTTTTGCAAATCTGCGTTTTAGTCAACAACATTGGTGTTCTCATTGTGTACATGATTATTATTGGTATGACTTAATTTCATACAACGTAATTGCATATCTAGTTGTTCTTTGATATTCAATTGTGTTTTCAACATGTGCTTTGGTTGCCTTTCTTGTCGACTTATTTATGTACTGGATTTCCCTTGCCTGTTCTTATGAAAATGTGTAAATCTGCTTATGAGCTTATGATGGTTTATTGTTTCTTGAAGGTGATGTGCTTTCTGGAACATCATCAAGTGGAGTTCACCATGCTGGTGTCCTTGAAGGGTGGTTCGGAGAACACTGGTGGAATGGGCGTACCTTTGTTCTTGTTGTCACAACACTGGGCATCTTCTCTCCATTGGCATGTTTTAAACGGATTGGTTAGTGTTTTGGTTGTTCTAGCTGTATTGAATTTTATTTAATCGTTTTGGTTGTTCTATATAGATCATTATATCTTAATATGTTGACTCGATTTAAACATGATTGAAGCAATCATTTTGGTATTTTACAGTAGCTCTGTAAAAATCCAATTACCTTGTTGGGAATTTCAAATATGATATCAATTCCCAGAAGAATGTAATCCAAGCATACTATGTTTCTTTCTTTTACTTTTGGTATAAAGGTTTCTGAATCAGATTTCATTTTGTTTGTATCCTTTTTAGAAAATATCCGTTTTCAAATGCAGTTGATCCAAATGCTATTTAAGTGTTTACTGTATGTGTGTCATATAGATTTAGCACCACTCTTTTGCTCATCTTTACACTTTACTATAGCATATGAACTATCGGAACCTCATACTTTTATACCTGTAGAAATATGTGTCATATAGATTTTAGCAGCACTCTTTTGCTCATCGTTACACTTTACTATAGCATATGAACTATCAGAACCTCATACTTTTATATCTGTATAAATATAAGTTGGATAGTTTGTATTGCATGCTTATTTTTTAGTTGTATGTGACTAACGAGCAGTTATGCCTTCTCATGATTGCAGATTCCTTGAGATTTACATCTGCCTTATCAGTTGCTCTGGCAGTTGTGTTTCTTGTCATTACTGTGGGAATAGTAGTTGTCAAGTTGATTAGTGGAACTATAATGATGCCTAGATTGCTACCTGATGTCACTGATTTGACCTCATTCTGGAAACTCTTCACCGTAGTACCTGTTGTAGTCACTGCATTTATCTGCCACTACAATGGTATACAAGTTGATTCAGCAACTAGTCTCTTGCTTTAAGTAATGTGCTTTTCAGGTTTTACATTGGTGCAGGATAAGAAGAATGGCTAATATTCTTTTGTGCTTAAATTTGCAGTTCACAGCATAGATAATGAACTGGAAGACTCTACCCTGATAAAACCAGTTGTGCGAACAACACTTGCTTTATGCTCAACCGTTTACATAATGACAAGCTTTTTTGGATTCCTTCTATTTGGTGATGCAACATTGGATGATGTGCTTGCCAACTTTGATACTGACCTTGGCATTCCCTACAGCTCCCTGCTTAATGATGCTGTCCGTGTTAGCTATGCTGCTCACCTCATGCTTGTATTTCCAATTGTCTTCTATCCACTGCGACTCAACATTGATGGCCTCCTCTTCCCTTCTGCAAGGCCTTTAGCTCTGTCTAATATGAGGTTTGCTTTTATTACCGTTGGGCTCATCACAGTTATCTTCTTGGGTGCAAATTTCATACCCAGCATCTGGGATGCTTTCCAATTCACTGGAGCAACTGCTGCAGTTTGCCTAGGGTTCATTTTTCCTGCTGCTATTACTCTTAGGTAAGTTTTTGATCTTTCAATTCAATTAGATACATACATTGCAGTAGACTATCAATGAGCCTAAATATTTATACGCTATGGCAAGGGCTAATACACTTGGGATAAAACATTAAAACTGAAACATGGTTGACTTGGTGACTCAGAAATGTTAAGGTTAAACTGCAACTCGATTTGCATTTAGAACTTGTGAGACATGCTTTTAATGTCCAACATCCCGAAAAGTTTGGTATTATTGTCAATTGTCAAGAATCATGAGATGTTGCCACTGCTAGGCTCTCTTGATTCTAACTATTGGTATTGCTGATTGTACTTATAAAAAAAAGGCACCCTCTTAGGTTCATCTTTGGCACTAAAGTGATGTTATTGAGAATTGTTGCATTTGCCTTATCTGCCCTGCGGGAGCATATCACTTACAATAATTGTATTACAATTAACCAATCAAAATTTAGAATCATGTAGGGTCCATCAAAATATTATGTGGAGTCAACACTTATAAATGATGGACTCTACGTAATTAGATTGTGATTAGGCATTTGTAGGATTGTAGTAAAAGAATTGTAAGTGAAATGCTTCTTCTCATTTGCTTAATATTGTTTGGTTTAATATTTTTCTTGATTGTTTTCTTTAGACTTATGAGCTGACGATAATCAATTAATTTTTAGTTCAATACTAATCATAGATTTAACATTAAATCATTTTCCATTGGCGTTTCAGGGATCACCATTTTATGGCAACAAAGAAGGACAAGATCTTAGCTCTTTTTATGATTGTCCTTGCTGTATTCTCAAACGTGGTGGCCATATATAGTGATGCCTACACGCTGTTTAAGAAGAATTCAGGAGGAGGACCCAGGGCATGATCCATCTGGCTGTTCCCTTGATTGCAGGAGAAGACATTTATGGTCATATTTTCCTTGAATATAGAATAATTTGAGGTCTAATTCGAAAATCTGGGTTTTCGAAGGAGGTTTGATAAGGTATTTAATAAGGTGAAGTTTTCTTCCTATGTATAAAAGTTAGATTGTCAGGCAAGTGTATGGAGTTTTTTGTATCATCCCCTCTGTATGCAGTATTGTACCTTTCTTGTTTGATTTTAAATCATGTTGTATAAACATTAAATCAAGTTGTGAAATTGCAAGTATAGTATATTGGCTACACTAAGCTATCTAGATTTTTGTGGGTATTTTAACGTTATTCGGCCAATATTATGTCCTAGGCCTAACGGTAATAAGGTCAATAAAATTGGAGTAGCTTCTTTCCATGGATCTGGGTTTAACTTGACATGCACCATAGTTGATTCTGGCTTATGAGCTTGCCTGCAAACCTTGAAAATTTTGGGGGTAGTTCCTGGAGTTGACCTGATTGTATTTGCTGCTCTTTTGACTGTTAAACTCAGCAAACACTGAGCGAAACACCTAGGCCATTCGATTTTACATTTTCTGTTCACAACTTATATGCATAATTAGTTTACTAGTAGAAACAAACCCTCAGTAAACAAAATTCACCAATAAGCAGAACAAACTCTCAGTATAGAGTCAAAGAAATCAAAGATTAAGGCGTTCTTGAATTACATTTAACTGTTGGATAAGATATTTAAATTATAAATTTATTAATTAATGTGATATTTAAAAGATTATTTTTTTTATTATATGTCATCATTGTAAGTTAATAATTTTCAAAATAAATATTATATTAAAGATTATTAAAATTTAAATATTATATTAAATATTTTATTATAATTTAAAAATCAATTGTGACATTAACTTTAATTTTAATAATGAAATTAAGAGATAAAAAATAATTAATTCGATTATAAATTTTTAAAAATCGATAAAACAATTTTAATTTTATAAAAAACCGAACCCATCGAGGAAACTAAAAAAAAAAACCTAAAAGTAGCCAAATCGATTTAAGTCTGTTTGTAACCGAAACAACTTCAGTAGATCGGTTACAGTCAATTATCTCGTTTCTATTTATGTGTGGTGAGCGGCAAATCGTTGGGGATTATGCAAGCAAAGGTGCAACCCATCTGGGCAGCAGCTTCATACCCTTAACTATAGTGACCAAAATGTGGTGCAATTTTAAAAAAAATAATAATAAAAAAATAAAAATAAAAAGCCTCAAACATCCATGAACTCCATGTTCTTTTGACAAAAAAAAAAAAAAACACGTGATTAAGTAAGCCAATAACTAATTATGCAAATCATACCATTTAAAGTTAAAGATAAAGAACCACCATATAAAAAAAATTGTAAAATATATACGATTTTGAAGAAATAAAACAAAGTAAATAAAATAAATAATACAACAAAATTAAAAGTTACGCAGTTTGGATCAATGATATTTGATCAGTGATAAATCTTGACATTTGATTTTAAATGAATCAATTAATTTTATATTAGATCTTTTTTTTTCAAATGTTTATTATTATATTATTAATATAAATATATACATATATGAAAGAAATATACTAAAAATAATTTACGAAATTATAAATTTTATTAATTCATAAGCAAATGTACAAACAAACATAACACATCAAATAAATAATCTTATTTGAAATTGTGAACGATTTAAACAATAAAAACATAAATAAATCATTTGTTAAATTAACTTAAAAAAAAATTACAAATACATGAATTATTTTACACTACACACATTCATGAATTATCAGGTTTCAACTGCCCAAGAAAAACCTCTAGGAGACCTGTTTTACTGGTCTTCTGCATGCCTATGCCACTTGGAGTTCAAAATATTTTTAGTTGAATATCATTAAGTAGTTTAACCAAGCCGATCGAGCATTAGAGATTTGCAATGGGAGCAAGAGCTTTTAGCTTCATTAATTCTATTCGTAGACATTTAAAATATATTTAGTGTATAAGATTATGATAAAATAAAATAAGATAATATTATATATGAGATTAAATTAAATAATATCATTTTATTTTATATTTGATATAAAATTAAAATAAAATTATTTATTTATTTTTTAAATTATCTTTTTAAAAAAATATAAAATTTAAATTATTGTATAATTT